GCAGACGTCTATTCATACGCAGCGGCCTCTGCGCTCGGGGCGTGTACGGTCATTCGCAGCATATTCGGCGCCATATTCCCGCTGTTCTCAACGGCGTTATTCCGAGCCCTGAACCCCCGTTGGGCATCGACACTTGTCGGTTGCGTCGCGATCCTGATGATTCCAGTCCCTATCCTGCTGAAGAGGTTCGTCCGCTGCGCATAGCTCGCTTCTGGGTAGGCTAACGGTTTATTATAGGTACGGCCCGGCGTTGCGCGCACGGTCGCGCTATACCGCGAGGGCATTGGAGGGCTGACTGGTGCAATGTAGTCGGGTTACGTTGATACGGACGCAGAGATGACAAGGCAGCAATATGAGTGCGACATGTCGTAATGGCGATACTTGGGCTTGTATAGTAGTCGCCAGCGGCAGGGTGCTAATGAGATGTACAGACGGACAGACTTCAGAGTATGAGGCTCGTCGGGTCGATGGCGTCGAGTAGTAGTTTGCTACGTCGGTGACGGTTCGCGAGCGTGACGATGACAGACGCGTTGGATCGTCTCACGCGCGCGCTCGGCGCTCCTCCGCTCAAGACGACCACGACGACCTTCACGGCTTCACGATCCCGCAACTTGACACGACCACCCCTGCTACCTTCTCATAAAATCGAGACTATGCCCGGACCACGCAATCAGAAAAACAAGAAGAACAAGAAGGGCTTGAAGAAGGCGCCGCCACACGCACCAACACCCGCAGACCCGGCCCACGACGCGAGCACTCATCATACCCCCACCCAACCGCACGAACAAATACGCGAAGCGGCTAGTTCGAAATCCTCACTTAAATATCCTTTAGCAAGTCTGCCCCATCCACCGCAGGACACTCCAGACGGCCCGCTCGTCTTGGGATATGAGCCTTTGCCCCAGCTGAGCAACTACGAATACCTGCACCAGCAGGAGTACGATGCAGAGCGGTTTCAACAAGTGATATACCATCATGATCCCACATACCCCCATTATTCTCCATACCCCGACGAACCACCCATACCGCCCTCGCTGCTGAAGGTCCCTTTTATTCACGACCCGGGAAACGGGCCCCGCGTCAAGGACATTCGCGCGTTCCTAGCCTCAAAGCTAGCCTCTCCGCCCTCACTGGACGATCCGTTATGTGGGGAATTCGCGGACGACGCGGTCCTGCAGATGTTATGCACCGTACTCCCAGAGGAGACCGCAACGGTACGTCATCATCAGGTTCCTCCGTCTTTTCCTCATCATTCATACGCAAGAGCATGTAGATTTTGTGGTATAACAAGAGCAGAGTGACAGCGAGGGTATGCCCCGCGTGCCAGAGGCTGTATCGGTTAGGCGATGTCCTTCCCGACCACCTCGCGGGCGAGGACGCGCGCGCTGTGCAGGACGCCCCACCTTCTCCCTACCTCGCGAGGGAGCAGGAGCTCAGCGGCCTATGTGAGTACCCCCCGCCTCCCTGCTCGTTCCCTCACGCCCTGCAGGTCGACCTCCTTACCGCGAAACCGTGACATTCCCCCTCTTGCCCGCGTTGTCATACTCACCCCGCGCGCGTACGCAGGCTCGCCCGTGTGCTTCATCCTCGCGTCGTACAACTATCCGGGCGCGATCCGCTCGACGTGGGGCCGGATGGCGGAGGAGCTCGACGACGCGACGTGGGACCTGCTCGACGGCCCGGGGCAGCAGGCGAACGACATGGGGCTCGGGATGTTGCTCAAGATGACGAGGTGCCATGATCTGGGCCTGGGCCAGCTGTTCTTCCCCGAGTTGGACATGGACTCGGACGGGACGGCTCATGAGGAGGGGGATGAGGATGTGAAGTGGGTGGGGGAGGCGGAGGGCAAGGTTGAAGGCGTGGCCCTGCCCACGGACCGGGCAGAGGAGAAAGGCGTCGTGGAGGTTATGGAGAGATTGAGGGTAGAGGATGTGAGTGCGGTCCCCGTCCCGGTGTCGTGACGCTAGGACGGTAGGGCAAGTTGAGGACCGGTGTGAGTCCGCATGTTCGCTTTCGGGTTGCTTACGACGCTTCGCTCTCCTGTCATGCTACACCACTGCTTTTGACGTTCGTGAATACTAGGCTACATTTCTCCGAGGTCACTACCAGCATCGCACCCAGGATGCCAAGGACGTCGTTAGTGCGCCGTTGAGCCTTGTGCTCTCCGTATACCGTCGACTGTCACCCCATATCACCATCATTCATGGAGCTTACCCGATGCTCCATCGTGTTACGGCTAGCAAGGGATGGGTGCGGTCTGTGCGAAGTCTCATGCTACTCCGCGTGAGTGCTCCCATCGCCAAGTCTGTTTGGCCGTGTTCCACCCGGTCGACATGGCCCACTTCGGCAATGTTCACTTCGTATCGAGTAGAACACGCTTGCCCGATTATGACCCTGCAGATCCTCTTGCGCATCAATATGTCTACCTTCGCTTGCAAGACGTCTGACAGCTAGTCGTTGCGCCATCTATAATCAAGTCTCGTTCATAGGATACCCCGTATATGCGACGTCCACATGCCCGATGAGGGCTCGTCGTGCTGTAAATACGACGTAGTATAATTTGGGCGGTTATCTACCGGATTCGATCCAGCCTCTCCGCTCACAAGGGAACGGGTACTGTGTTCTGCCTATGTACATACATCCGCTCGCAGCCCGCTGCCGAAGGCCACGCTTGATGGTCGTGCAGCGGGCACAAGACGGGTTGCACAAGCTCGACTGGGAAGGCGGGCCGCGAACGCTCGCACCGAGCCTGTATCTGGCGCTCAGCGAACATCTTGTACCCGCAGAGCTTCGTGCTCGCCGTCTCGACTCTCCCTCTCCGCGGTCCTAGCTGAACATCTACCGTACGGACGACCCGAAGATGCCGACAGACCAGCCCCGCACTATGTCTGTAATCGACTCGCCGCGCACCTCCGGAAGCACGCTCTCGGACGTGCCCGAGGAGCAGCCGATGACCCCGAGCGCACGCTCGCCGTACTTCCACCAGGCGGTCACCGGCTCCGCAACGACGTTCAAGCCTGCTACGAGCACGACGTCTCTGTCCAGTGTTGGGGCGGGCATCACTTCGCCTTCGAGGACACCGTCGGTGACGAGCCAGCGGACGCCTTCGGGACTCACGAGGTCGGGCACGGGGAGATCGGCCAGCGGGGACGGGGGGCCAAGCGGGGTCGCAACCCCCAGGAACCCGCGGTCTGGGTCCCCGGCGACGCTGAAGGAGCGGGAACGGGAACCGCGGGATGGCCGGGAGGGCAAGGACGAGAAGCAGGAGGGGGGCACAAGACGGGAGCGGGAAAGGGAAAGGGAAAGGGACAGGGAGGGGGGCGAGCGCGGGGGCGAGCGCAAGGGCGGGAGGCCAGGGCAGCCTCCACCGACGCACCGGATACGCAACACGCCGCACCTGCCGCATGCGAAGGACGTCGAGCTCACGCCGGCGACGCTCATGCACTGGAGCAGGGCGCCGGTGTACGGCGCGATGCCTCTGCATGGGTCGAGGGCGCATAGCGTGACGCTGATCGATAGCACTGCGTGGATGTTTGGCGGGTGCGACGAGAGCTTGTGTTGGAGGGATGTGTTCTGCTTCAATACTGGTGCGTGTGTTGTTTTCGATCGTGGCGAGCGCGTGTCGACACTCGACGGCAAGGGGGGCGAATCCGTCTTTGCTAGTCATGATAAGGAGGATTGTGGTTGGTGTTGTGAAGTCTCGTACAGTGTGGCTAGTAGAGGTCAGGCCATCCCTGTGTGCACGGTGCACAGGCTGCGGCAAGACCTCTCGGAGCCGTGCTCCTGAGATCCCTGCCGTACTCAAATGTGCTCATATGCGGTTCCACTGGAGACATGTTACTGTCGCGGTTGTTCAGATCCTGTGCGAGCGAGTAGAGACAGGACCTCCTTTTCCTCGCCTTTGTGTTGCATCCCTCGCGCCTGCCCTTGCTCACTCTGGCGATTCAGAAACGATGCAATGGTCCCACCCTGAGGTTGTGGGAGACATCCCCCCACCCTGCCGCGCGCACACCGCGACGCTCGTCGACCGCAAGCTAATCGTCTTCGGCGGCGGTGAAGGCCCCTTGTACTACAACGACATCTACATCCTCGACACGACCATGCGCCGCTGGGTGCACCCGATACTCCCCGAAGACGCGGTCATTCCCCCGCCGCGCCGCGCGCACACGTCCGTCCTGTACAAGGGCAAGCTGTGGATCTTCGGGGGAGGGAACGGGAGCACGGCGCTCAACGACGTGTGGACGCTCGACGTGAGCGGGCCCGTGGATCGGATGCGGTGGGAGCAGATGGAGACGAGGGGGAAGAAGCCGACCCCGCGGGGGTACCATACGGCGAACCTGATCGGGAACGTTATGGTCGTGGTGGGAGGGAGTGATGGGAGGGAGTGTTTCTCGGATATCTGGTGCCTCAACCTTGGTGCGTGCTTCGGGCGCGGATGGGGGATGCAGGGACCGACGCTGACGTTCATGGCAGATACCTTACTATGGAGCCTTGTAAAGCTCGGGGAGAACCACAAGCGGCTGTCGCATTCGGCGACGCAAGTGGGATCGTATCTATTCATCTTTGGGGGGCACGATGGGGTGACGTACATGTCTGATCTCTTGCTGTTCAACCTCGGTGGGTAGTCCTCGTTACTCGTGCTTTAGTTGCCTGGTGAGCAACGCTGACATGACTCGTTCGTCAGTGTCACTTCAGTATGAGCCCCGCCAAATCGCAGGGCGACCGCCGTCCGCCCGTGGATACCACGCTGCTTGCCTCGCTGACAGCCGCCTATTCATATTCGGAGGCTTCAACGGCGTTGAGGTCTTCGATGACGTCCACCTCCTGGACCTCGCTGGCGCAGCGTACCTCCCACAGGTCACGAGCTTCCATATCGACGTCGAATAATCATATCGGTCCCCTCCATCACCATTCCCATCTGTTCCTTCTGGCATGCCCCTTCGTCATCCACATTTCCTTGGTTCCTGCGGCGAACAGCGCGAAGCGTAGGCCACCGCGGCAACCGCCTTCAACATGTAACTTATACCCGCGCACCCTCTCTGATCATGATACGCCTAGCCATCTAATTTGCGTCGCGTCTGCTGTTTGCTGTCCTGCCTTCATCCCTTCTCTTTTTCCCCGCTACATAGCGTCATCAAAGTGTGTATCGTCTGGTGTCCATCTCGTCCCCTCAAGTTCTATCTAGTACCTTGCAGTCTCGCACGTCCCCGCCCCTGGCGGCCGGTCTCTTGGCGCTGCCTTCTTCAGTCACACAGTAGTCCGTTTTTCTGAGTAGGTTGTGCATATAGGTCTCAGATGTATGTATGGAAAATCTATATCGTCACCATGTATCGTTTCGGACACAGTGTACACAGCTCTTCATGTTCCAAGGTTAGACATGCGTGAATCCGAGGATGCACTGCGACGACGTGCGTGCGTGGTTGTCTCGGAGGATGGACGGTAGGTACCGTGAGGGGGTGTCGCTGTAGATGGCGTTCGAGACGGAAGCGTGGCTGACCTGTGTTCCCCATACGCAATGGTAGCAGAGGCATCTGGCCTTACGGCGACTTATCTGAGGATGTCGACAGGGAATGCCAATACGTGACGCTACGGCTACTTCCTTCAGATATACAGCGCGCAAGCTTAGCACTTTAGGACGTCTATGAGCCTAGGCCACTGATTTCGAGGTATGTTCTTGGCAAGCCCGGAAGAGGTGCGATACATATGCGCCCATCCTTTGCTTGGAAGCGACAGGTACCACGCGCGCACGTCCGATGCCCCCGTCCCACCCAGTTCGAAACCCGCATTCCAAATGTGGCCGAGGGCGGTCACCGCGCACCCCACTGAAGACAATACGTGGGCAATGGACTGTCCACCAGCGCATCCGTTGATATGGTCAATACAGCGCCCGCGGCCCGCTTGACAAGGTCATGTCGGTAGGCGTTGTGGAGCTGAGTCGAAGCTACATACTTGCACACACATAAACACGCGTCTGGCCTAATTATAACCTGTTCTTCTGCGCGATCTTTCGCAGCGCAGGTACCGAGGCGCGTTCACGCATCTTTCGCGTGTCGTAAAGATGGAGGCTTCTCCCGTTTATTTTGGCTGTGGACTTGTGGAGCGTCGCGATCGTCGACGCCCGGGACCGAATCCGTTTTTGGGACTGCCCCGCGGATTTGCCCTCGCACCGCAGCAGTTGGGTACCGGATGAGTTATGTGTCGCGACCTCGGGGGCAGATGAAGGCGAGGTCGCGCAGTTCTATTCATTAGGTCCAGGAGCGGCGAAGAGATAAATGTGGACATACTCGATTGATCCGTTGGCGTCAGGAGCGAGCCACGATACTGTTCACGGATATGTACTCGAGTACGATCCTCGCAAGAATCAGTCTCCTCTGACCTGGATAAAGCTAGCAGACCCGACAGGGCGCGCCCGTCACACACTTCGACGTCCGCTCCATGTTTGCAACATCAAGACCTGATGTTGCATGGCTTCCGAGACAAATGCGTGAGCCTGTAGAAGACGGGCGCATCGAAGCATGAAGCACGCAATGCAGTGATACATCATCGCTATGTCAAGTTTCCAAGGCTTGCGACAAGACAGATACTGTACGAGACGACAACGTGACGTACTGACATGACATACCTGATGGATCATTGCAACGTTGAAGATGGGACGTCGGGGGCGCTCCTACATGTTATTGCGGTGTTATGGGCGCATGCCTCATGATGGCGAAAAGACAGTCGCACTCGACTCCTTGGCAGAGTGCGGCACAGGTGTGAACCATCGTGCAATGGTGGATGAAGCATGACCTGCTGATTATGTATAAAGTTGGATGATTGAATCCAGGCAGCGATTGCTTCTGCGTACAGCTGAACCGTAACGAGGGTGCCATCCCGCTTCGAACGGGAGATGGTGAGGACGTGTGACACGAGGGTTCGGAAGACGGGAGAGTGGCAGATGACAACCATGTCTGCCATGCGAACGAGCGCGGCAGTTGCAGCCTGTCGTAAAGCGAGGCACCGAGGAAGAGGGGCAGTACATTGCCGGACAACCGCGTCGGATTGCAGATCCGAGTCGGGAAAAAGTACAAGACGCACTAAATTTGTGCTTCCAACTTGAACGATCCTGCCAATGCACTTGGCGCCTGCAGATGTCGACATGGACGTCTGCGAGGGAAAGCGGTCCGGACAGCCCACGGCGTACGGCATATTTAGATCGGCAGGTCCTGTCAATGGGAGAAGCACCGAGGACTGCTCAGGAGCGTTGGAGTGGGAAGGAAGTCCCTGGCCCCACAACGCCCATCCAAGAATAACGCTACGCTTCGGTAACCTGCCAGGGAGTTCGCCATGATTCCTTCATGCTCGTCCTTCTGTGTTTCGCTCTGTCGTTGAAACTGACAGTTTCGCGAGGCAGGGGTGCGGTGCGGTGCGTCCTGATGCGCCTAGGATACTCGTGACCTTAGATAGCCGATGAGAAGACTGACGAATCAAGCAACAGGAGACATGGATGCATGGATGTTCACGGACCAACGGCGCGCGACAGCAGCCTCTCCCAAATCGCAAGAGGCTGAATATGCAGTGGTGCAAAAATAGCTCAAACCGGGCCCCGACATACCGTGCCCCCCCTAAGTGTGTTGCTTGTGCCTGGCGTCCCCGCGGCCAGGCGCACGTTGTAGATCATGAGCGGCGGATGCCAATGAATCGGTTCCTTTGATGGCAATGCACACGATGTCCCGGGTACAGGAGTCCTCGACATCCCAGAGCCCATAGGTGCCGCTGCTTTACAGTGGTGTGGTTGTCCAAGCCAAGAGAATGTATGTCAGCCGTCTATCGAGCGACTCAGCATTTGTCGGCCGGCAGGCGGGGTAGAGAGAATCCCCTAGCGACCGGCCTCTTTCTGGAAGATAACGGATCGAGCGTTGGTAGGGTGACTGGATCAGTCGCAAGTCTCTGATGCAGCCGGAGAGTGGTGTCCCAGTCGGGCCAATCACCGATGCAGAATCGAGGATCAGCGTGTGCCCAGGGGCTGCTATATAACTCCGGTAGGGCTTGGCTCTCCATCATCCCTCTTTCCTTCCGCTCTTGTCTCTGTCTACTCGAGCTGTCGCTCGCTCCCCTTCAGGCCGGTGCCTATTGTTCACTCTAACGCGACCCGGGGTCGTTTCGTTTTCTTCGAGCTCACGAAGCATTATCACTTTCACTCCTTCCACCTGACCGGTCGTCGTTTTATCAAGTAACTTTAGCACCATGTACCCCAAGGCTCTTCTCGTCGCTCTCCTTTCTCTCGCCCTCTCCGCTTCCGCCGTCCCGGCGCACAGCAAGAGCGCATCAAGCCAGGACGAAGCGTGCGCTGTATGTACAAGCATTTTCTGTGGGGGTCTTGGCGCTGATCTGGAGCGACATCTTTTCTCAGGCGTCAGTTTCGGTTAAGACCGTTACCGTCACTGCGACCGCGGCTCCCGCCGCTTCATCCGGTGTCCTTGTCGCCAACCCCAACGCTGGCAAGGGCATTGGTGGCAAGACCGGCACCGGTGCTACCGGTGCCAAGACTGGCACCGCTGGTGGCAGGACGGGCGGCAAGGGCGGCAAGGGTGGTATGTCTTATCCTTAATCCGCTACGGGATTGGCGTTGTTCATGTGTGTTTGCGTGGTAGTTGGCAAGGGCAACACAGGCACCGGCGCCGGAACCGGAACCGCTGCGTCTAGCAGCGCCGCGGCATCGAGCACGAGCACTGCTACGACTGGCGCAAGCAGCGGTGACAACGCTTCATCTGGAGCGGCTGCCGGTAACGCCGGTGCTAGCGGTAACGCTGCCAGTGCCCAGACATCGTTGACCATCGACCCCAGCAACATCTTCACTGCCTTCGCTTCGGACGGCAATGCGAACGCCACCGCCGGCCAGGAGCCCTCGCTCACGTCGACGAACAACTTCATCAACTTCTGCCTCCTCTTCCCCGACAAGCAGAAGACGAACGGCCAGCAGGTCCTCGACGGGTCCTGCAACCAGACCCCGATGGGTGTCATCGCCGCGCAGACGAAGATGCCGTCGTCCAAGTTCCAGTCCCCCGCCAACGGCGACACCATCGCCGCGAACACGGACTTCACTATCACCATGGCCATCAACAACCTCGAGACGGGCCACTTCACCAACCCCACGACGACGTTCCACATGGCGCCCCAACAGGTCAACGACCAGGGCCTCATCAAGGGCCACTCGCACGTCGTCATCGAGCAGATATCGTCGCTCGCTCAGACTACGCCCACGGACCCCACCAAGTTCGTCTTCTTCAAGGGTCTCAACGACGTCGCCGTCAACGGGGCCCTCACCGCCACCGTCCCTGGCGGTCTCCCCGCCGGCACCTACCGTATCGCGTCCATCAACTCGGCGGCGAACCATCAGCCCGCACTTGTCGCCGTCGCCCAGCGCGGTGCTCTCGATGACATGATCTACGTGAGTCACTCGACGTCCCGCTGCGACGACTCTTTGCTGATTATGCTTGCGACAGGTTACTGTGTCGGACAACGGCGCTGCTGCATCATCGGGCGCCGCAGCGACTGGCACTGGCGCGGCTGCTGCCTCTAGCAGCGCAGCGGCTGGCACAGCGGCGGCCTCTAGCAGCGCCGCCGCGGCGTCTGGCACGGCTGCTGCCACCGGCAAGGGTGCCGCGACTGGTAAGGGTGCCGCAACTGGCAAGGGCGCCGCTGCTGGTAACAACGCTACCGGTGCGAAGGCTGCCCCTGGTGCGGCCAAGGGTGCGGCGGGTGCAAGGACTGGCGCCAAGGGCCAGGGCAAGAACCGCCGCCAGTTCTAAGCGGGTCGCGTCCCTGATCCCCTAACCTATCCTCCCATATATGCGTCGGCCTCTTGTTCATCGCCATATCCCTTGTTTCCCTAGCCTTGTGTACGTGTACTTGATATTCACACTTCCCGGTCTACTTGATTTCTCTCTTTGTTCCCTTCTTTCGTGTACTCGGAACCTAGCCACCTTCACGGTCACGCTTGAGGCGGGGCGGAACGCTAGTCTCGTTGATCCTGTAGCAGAGCAATAATACGGAGCATGGAAACCCCTCGCTATGTGTGCTTCTCGAAGTGTCGCTGTAAGTGGTGTGCCGGAGGCTCCATGCGGATTACTGAAGGGAGCTGCTCGATCGTCTTGAGAGTATATTCACCTCTTATTGCTGATTCGTATCGGACTTTCACTTCGAAATCTGGCATGGCTCGGCCCATGGTTGTAGAAGGACCGTGGCCGGCCCTAAATAGGCCAGCAGACGCTAGTCGATAGCGTTGCAAACACGGGCAAATAGTGTCGACGCGCGACGTCGACTGCGGCAGTTTGATGACTGCCGTGTATCTTGGCTCGCAGAAGTTCTTGAGCAGACGCCGCGGTGCAGCCTCTGAATTTGCGAACGCTCTCCACGACTAATCATCTATCTACAACGCCTATCTACTCCATGGGAAACTGCATATCCTTTCCTCGGGTTAGCACCTCTAGGCGTTGCGGGACCCACGGAGGACAGTCGGATGGTATGATTGCTGGGACAAATGCGGAAGAAGTCATACCGTGTGCCGACTCCACAGGTCCGGACCCGCCCCATCCCGCACTATATAATCAAGATGTCCTGGCGTTATTGTTTGACGTCTTCAATCCTTTCAATCGCACCGATCGTGCAACGTGTGCTCGCAGTGCCCGAGTTTGTCGGGCATGGGCCGAGCCAGCATCGAGTGTCGTCTGGAGCAAGGGTGTGGACCTCACGATTTTATTCCGCATTCTTCACCGACCCTCTTCCTTGGACACAATGGCTCGCAAGATTTCTTCGTCGGATCCAGGAATGGTGAGCTAGCTGGCTCTTATGAGCTCAATCCATGTTTCTGACGCAGCCCGGCGCAATAGACCCAAGAAAAACTTCAGGTCATTCGCCATGAGGCTTGGCAAAGCTTCTTGCGCTGTGGAGCTAGGATTCGGGAGCTATCCGAAGGAACCTTTGGGTTAATCCCCGCTTACGTAGAGCTGACCCATTTCCTTATTCGCAAAAACGGCACACAAACCTTCCTCCCCCATCTGAAGACGTTGCACTGGAGACAAAGAGCTGACAGCTCGGGAATTTTAGTCCGCTTAGTCCCGCCGTCTCTCGAATCTCTCGTACTTCACGTCGACGAGCTAACTGCCGGCTGTCCACTGGGGACACTTGGGTTGCAGCTCTCTTCGGCAGCTCCCTTTCTCCGTAGGTTAGAGATCACATGCCAGACCGGACTCCCCATCAGCTTTCTCATTCCCCTGAAATCCATCCGTGAACTTACTCTTCATAACGTATTGACCGCGTTCAAGCCGGAAGACGTCCGACGCTTGCTGAAGGCCCCCAACTTGGAGGCTCTTCATTTGTCCATCAAGAACTTCGCGAAATGCCAAAGAGTTATGGACTCTGGTCCTAACCTACGCAGCATCTACTGTATAGGGATGTGCGAGGATCTCGCATCCTTCATATCTCTACTGGACGCTCCCAACCTCTACGGGATGTACTTGCTGAGGCCAGGGGACGTCGATGCCCTCCGTTCTTTGATTGGCGAGTTGAAGAGCGCGCCATGCACGCGAAGCGTCCGCTCTCTCAAGTTAATCTACGGCAATAGCGCTCTCCGATGCGATCCGACCCCCCTTCGTTACGCCGTTGTTGCTCCACAGCTAGCGGTTGGGAAGATAATCCTGCAACCCTTATTCGGACACTTCAACCAACTCGATACGCTTATTGTGGGTTCCTGTCACTGTCCCAGTGTCCTCACCGACGACGACGTCCTCATGCTCGCCAAAGCCTGGCCAGGGCTGAAGAAGCTCTCCCTCCCATCACATGCCACATCCCCTTACTGCTCACGGGTGGCGTCATTCCCCTCCGTAGCGTCACTATATCACCTCTCATATCTTTGCCCGGAACTTATCCATCTCGAGATAGAGCTAGGGGATATCACTCTGCCTCCTGAATTTCTGCAGTATCCCATTCCGCGAATTGCACATCGCTTGCGCACGCTCAAACTCTCCTCATTACGTTGGATTGAGCCCGATGCTTTGGCACTAGTACTGGCCGAGGTGGTGGATGGCCTCTTTCCAACGCTGGATGTCGACGTATGTATCCGGGACAAGAGGCCCCACCTTCAGTGGCACGGCTGGCCATTGATGTGGGCTAAAGTACGAGAGTTACAGGCCGGGCGAGAGCGCAGGTCGATTAAGAATTGGCAAGGGTGATGACTTTCGAGCGTTGATGGATTGTCGAATGCGTCGCGCTTGAGTTCATATGGATTGCTGCCTACCGTAGTTGTAGATACTGTCATCATTAGTGGGGTATGAATACTTGTGTCCTGGCGTTGCATGTATCAGGGTATCCCTCCGCCGTCGGCGGGTAATATCACGTCTTGAAGTCCCGTGTGTTCAGTTCGAGACTTCCGCGGAATAGCAGGTCGGGCTAGTCAATCCAAGGCTATCCATATCGGCGGCGGTCTGGACTGGGGTCGCGGAAGAGATTAACACTACTCAGATTGGCAAGGAACTTCTTCCTAGACCCGATCAGCTATCTAGTCTCCTCTGCAATCTGCAGTGCAGAGTCATAGCCGCCAGTCACAATGAGCGGCCGAGATGCCCATATTTCGTGGATGAGATCTAGTTGCTATGCGAGTCGTCGGTCTGATTGCTTGGCAATCTATCTATGGAAGAACATACTGAGGCATCTTTCGGAGGAACCTGGAGGGTCTGAGTAAGAGTTGCAGAAAGGAAGAGACCTCGACGCTCAAGCTTAGTACGCACTTCTGCGTTGGTTACTATAGTTGGCTTGCTCTGGTTCAGCAGAATTTGCATCTCAGAGTAAGCTGCGAGCGCCGCCTGGCAACACTGCTCTCAGTTGAGCGATTAAGCTCGGCCGTACTGAAAAGTATCATACTCCCCGCACCCACTACCACTTACACAGAGAGGGCGGAAGCTATTCTTGGTGCTCGCAGCGCCGTTTTACATCTGGACTGCAGCTTAGATGGCTATCTCAGTGCATTCGATGATACGTGTGGCCGTAGGCTCCTCGAGTCGTATCACGCAGGAGGCGATTGAGACCCCGCTGCTCAGAGTTACTGTAGCGATAACGCATTCTCAGTAAGTCTCCATAGTGAGGCCGTCGATCCAATGAGAATGACGAGTAAACGTAAAGCATGGAGGCTGCCATCGAGGCTCGCTGAGCCACGCGTAATCGAGCATGATGGTGGGAGTCGCTTGTTGTGTACTCTCTTTGTGCGAGCGAGGGCCGCATGCTAGTAATAGGGCCAGGCACTGGAGTTGCTAATCCAGGCCTTGAGCTCATCATTTACCCCAATGGGCACGTAGCTGTACCTGCAGGATCTATTGGCCGTCCGTCAGTGCTCCTCTGCGGACTACGTCAAGACCTACGCACCTAGTACTATACACACAAGCTCGAAGATTTATGTAACAAGCTGCGCATGGAAAACGGAGCCAACGTCACAAATACGTACCACAATCCACTCGATGTACCTGCTCTTATCATTCTTCCTACAAGGACAGACGGTAAAGCCTCCATAGCACAACGACAACTAAATACTGTGCCCGGTGTGACGTTCCAAACGCCCCGTACAGGCCGTTCGTCACATCTGCGTGAACAGAACACCCATCGCGCCCACGGCAGCTAAGGCAGATAAAGCGACACCACTCATGGCCATCCGCATGTTCCCAGCTCCGTTGCGAGCCGCAGCGACCTGGACCGGAATAGGAGAAGCCATCTCTGTGCCGGCGATACCCAAGCTACCCGAGTTGTCGATAACGCCGAGCGAACAAGAGGCGATCGGGAGCGCGCCGCTTCATCAGCAAAAAAGCGAAAGAAATGGTCAGTTATGTCCGGGATCCGTCTTACACGGCCAGATTGGCGAGATATGGCAAAGGGATGGCGAAAACTGGTAGAGAATCGCCAGGTATGATCTGCAATGGCCGGACCTTGCGGGGCGCTTGAACACTGATTGTCACTTCTGGCTGAGTGTATGGTCTTCGGGTACCGTACTGCAGCAGAAATCTGGCCAATATTGTACATTTTTGACTAGGTCAATGAACATAGATGGTCAATGTTTGGTGTCATTCCTGCCATGGATGCCCAGGCTCACACTACGGAGCGGTCATTTATCATGCTGAACTAGCCAACAGAATTATCACATAATCGAGTATGTAATTTTGATAAATTATACTAATTGGACGCAAACTACTATACACGGAAGAAGGACGCACTGCTACGAATAGAATCAGACAGGGTTAGGGTTAGTAAGGCTAATCGCTGACTGAGCACGAGCA